AGGTAGCGTGATCCGCAGTATTTTGCGACTGCTGTCGTCGTCGCTCCTCAGAGTTCTGCCTGGCGAGTGCATGCGCTGCAGCATCCCGTGCACGTTCTGGCCCGCGGTTTTCCTCGAGCGATCTCCAGGTAGCGTGATCCGCAGTATTTTGCGACTGCTGTCGTCGTCGCTCCTCAGAGTTCTGCCTGGCGAGTGCATGCGCTGCAGCATCCCGTGCACGTTCTGGACCGCGGTTTTCCTCGAGCGATCTCCAGGTAGCCCGAGCCGCAGTATCCTGCGACTGCTGTCGTCGTCGCTCCTCAGAGTTCTGCCTGGCGAGTGCATGAGATGCTGCATCATTTAATCGTTCCCGCGCTCGGACTCGTTCACTACGCCTTCTCTGAGAGCGTACTGCGGTATCTCGAGCGCGAGCCTCCTGTGCAACCTCCGGATTCACTGAGCGGACAAAGGCATTGTGCTCGGCATTTCGGGCTCTAATTTGCGTAGCATTTCGAGCGTATTGAGCGCGACTTCTCCTAAGTGCGGCTTGGCGACGCTGCTCCTGAGATAAAGAAGATGTGCGTGGCATTTTCTTTTCGTTCCTGTTAAAAAATGGTTAGATAATATGGTTAAATGTATGTTTCTAAAATCTGAAATGTATTAAGATCGATTTTGTGCTCCGGGCCTCCATGTCCTTACTTAATATTGTTCTCATTATATTTCGATTTCCACCGTAGATTCTTTTAGGGGGTTCAGCTTGTGAGATTTAAAACGCCGCTATAAACTTAACGGCGTTTTAAAACTCAAACAAACTATACGCTGAAAAAGCTAATCCCTCTAACGATGGTATCCACAGGAAATCGAAATATATTGAGGCAAATTTTTCAAAACATGCCCAAACCAAAACTTGCTAAAATTGTGGCCAAATTTAACAATTTAAAAACAAAATGTATAACTTACCAAAAATAGTTGTACACTTTTATATATATAGAGATATATATATACACACACACACACACACTATTTGTCTTTACACTGATTAAAAGTATACATTCACACAATATAAAAATACTCGATGCACTGGTATATGTTGTCACTGTCACTGTCGTGATAATACTAATCCGCGGATTATAAATGTGCGCAAATAAATAGGCACCTTATATTACCTGTTAACAACCTTTAGGGTTAACCCTTTTGACTCTACTTCAGGTATATATCAGGTAATACGATTGGTTATGCAATTGTGCAACATTGAACACGTGTTATGTTGCTAACAGGTATCAAATTATGATTTAAGGGTTATGCGAGGGCTGCATTTATACCTGATACCTGTTTGCTTATGCAATTGTGCAACATTGATCACGTGTTATGTTGCTAACAGGTATCAGGTTATGATTTAAGGGTTATGCGAGCGCTGCATTTATACCTGACACCAACTTCAGCATGTATCCCTCGAATGTTACCGTTTCTTAACTTAATAACAGGTGACAGATATATGTATATCGGGTCTGAAATATTAACCTTTGCGATAACCTTTTAATTTTATTGGAGAGTCTGCAATTCAGCAGAGGCTAAGAGAAGTCAATTGCCAATTGCAGAATTGGTCAGATATATCTTACATCAGCTATATATGTAAATTCAAAACATATTAGTAATATAAAAAATGTGAAGCCCATATATGAAATACTAAAAAAGTATTAATTTATATTCAAAATATTAATACGCCCTTTATAAAATATAGTTGTCGGATTTTCATAATATCAATATTAAAATTTTAGAATCCTAAAAATGCCATACTCGAAGAATGTGAAATATGTTGATAATTGTCGAAGTTCGACTTTTTTCTTGTAATTCTTCGATCGTTCCTATGGCAGCTATAATATATAGTCGTCCGATTTTCATAAAACTAAATATTACATTTTAAAATAATACAAAATGGCCATATCTCAAAAAAGATAAATATTCGTTGAAAAACAAAGAAGTTATAATTTTTTTCTATATATAGTTGTTGATATAGTTGTCCGATTTTCATAAAATTAAATATGAAATTATAAAATAATACAAGATGACACTATCTCAAAAAAGATAAAAATTCGTTGAAAAACAAAGATGTTGTAATTTTTTTTCTATTAATTTCCGGATCGTTCCTATGGCAGCTATATGATATAGTCGTCCGATATTCATAAAATTTTTACCAAAATTCAGGAATAATATAAAATGGTCATATTTAAAAAATAGTGCAAATATGTTGAAAAACAGCAAAGTTATAATTTTTTTTCTAAAAATTTATCAAACATTTGTATGGCAGCTATATGATATAGTCGTCCGATCCGGCCCGTTCCGACATATATAGCAGTGAGAGCATATAGAAGACTATATGCAAAGTTTCATTCAGATAGCTTTAAAACTGAGGGACTAGTTTGCGTAGAAACAGACAGACAGACAGACGGACAGACGGACAGACAGACAGACGGACAGACGGACAGACAGACAGACGGACAGACGGACATGGCTAGATCGACTCGGCTGTTGATGCTGATCAAGAATATATATACTTTATAGGGTCGGAAACGTCTCCTTCACTGCGTTGCAAACTTCTGACTGAAATTATAATACCCTGCAAGGGTATAAAAATGGTATTTTGTTTTCAAAATCCAATCTTTTTAATTATTTTCTTTGCAATTTTTCTTCTGTGCGCCTAATTAATATCTTGCCTAGGTCAGCCCACTTTTTCACCCAAACAGCGAGGAGCGTGGAGCTCTGGACACACTGATCTGTGTGGAATTCGAGCTGGAACGTCCCGTCGCCTGATTACATGGCTGGCACATTTTAATTGATGATCCAAACAGCAATGTCTGAGTTTATAGCTTTGTTTGGCATTTTTCTCTCTCTTTTTTTTTTTGCGCACTTCTTTCTTGTCCGGTCTTTATGATTATTGCTTTTGACTTTTTTCATTCGTTTGTTTTTTGCTTTGCTCTGCAATGAAAGCTTGTTTCGAGTGCTCTTCAAACTTCGAAATTCCCTGAATAAGATCAGATTTCTTAGAAAGCGTTATTTGTTATTTTAAAATCCAAGAGACCGTTTTTATACACACATAAAGATTATTTTATGGCTAATATGAAATAAATCTCGCCACATTGCGTATACGCAATGGAATATTTGTATAGCTAAAATGTAAGCTTATCACTGAAAGTAGCTGTCTTCGAAACATTTTCAAGTGCATTTTTTATGAATATGGCTTATTTTTATACACACTTGTGTGAGTGTATAAGATTCATGCAAATTATACGTTTTTAAGACGCGAATGACACATTTATTTAGCTTTTATTGAGAATGAGAAATGTAACAATTATACTGTTTCTACGCTCCAACTCGTGTTTTTTTGCGTTCAGCTATTTTCAACTTCTATTCTCGCCGCATCCCCCTTTATTCTTCTTTTTTTTTTGCTTCTTTTCTGTTGTCTGCGTCACCAGGCAGAATCGGTCGCAGCCGGGCCCCCTTATAGCTGCTTCTATGTGTGGGTTCACATTGTTACTTATACACGAACATCTTCCTGCACATATTACTGTATAATACACTGAGGGAAAAAATAAAGATTTAATTAAAATGTATAAAAAGCTATGAAAATATTCTAAGGTCAAAGAGCATGTGCGCTAGCTTTATATTTACCAATGAAAAATAACTTTTAAATCTTAACTAGTTAATAATTGAATTTTAAAAAGAAATATACATACATTTAATGTTAAATGACCAGATTGACCCTATTTTAATGTCATTTTTTGTCGTGTACACAAAATATACAATCATGTATATGTATTCCCTCGTATCACAATTTCAAGAGACGCTAATAGAAGCGATGCCGCGCAGTCAAAGCTTTTTTATTTTGTTTTAGCTGAACTGTTGCCAACGTCAAGTTTGCTGCCGCTGCGCGTTCAATAAGAAATCAAAAATAAATAATATTTTCCACTTGCAAGCGCCGTAAATAAACAACAAAATAATAATAGACGGATGCTAAAGCTGCGTGTGCTGATGCCACAGAGAAAGTTCAATTTTGATTGACGGCTACACAACAAGAACAAACGGGAATCAGATCAATTGAAATTGGATTTGAGTTGCATTCAACAAAAGGGGGAAACGGAAATACACTGCTTGCTGGGTTTGATTCACTTTCGATAGCGATAACCACTTCGATTATCTTCAAATGCGGCCATTTTTAAAGCGATAATGCAATTTGGTCCTCATTTCCGCTTTAATATTAATAATATTTACTTTGATTAATTTAAAGCTTTAAGTACTTATTAATGGTTCTATTTTAAAGTATAAGCAAACCAGACATTCATAAATAGATTTTGTTATATGTCTGAGCTGTTAGAAAACGAGATTTTGTATATTAAACATTTATTGCATCACCTAAAATGTAGAATATACATTGTTTATACTTTATTTACCGATTGATAAGGAAGGGTACTCCGAAACAGACTTTGATTCGCAAGCCCCACTGAACCCATCAGTCTCCTCCCTTCACATACGCACTGGGAACTGCTCTCAACTGGATTTTGACGTCACAGTTGGACTACAATATATTTTGCAAAGTCCACTAGCACGCTTCCAGGCTTTTCAGACAGGCATATATGTAACCATTTCAATGCACTTGGGCATAGAAAATCCACTCGTAATCATCTGATCACCGATTCGAACGAATCCGACCGACAAATCTCCCAATTAATGGGGAAAACTGCGCACCAAATGAGTTCAATTGCAGGGTTAGCTGATGATTCGGCTGACGATGGGCGTGGCGCGTGTGTCCACTGAGGCCTGACATTTGCATTAATCTTAATTGATTAATAACAATTCAAGTTCAAAGCTATTAAGCGGAAATATCCGTGGCAACTAGAGTGCAGCAAATGTGCAGTTATGTGTAGAAACAAACATTGCTCGCGAAGTTTACAAAAATAATAACATTTCTTTAAATAAATATATAAAATAATAATATATCAAACCATTAATAAAACCATTTTAAATTTCTTTCGAGGCCTCTTTTATAGTCAAGGTGCTTGACTATAAGCATCATTATTATTATAATTATTTTTCTCCTTGGGAATTTCACAAATTCAACTAGAAACTCTGGCGCCCAATTTGTTAATATCATTTACAAATTAAATTATTAAACGCTTTCTTTTTAGAAAATTCAATGCTTGGCAGTTTTCTTGTCAGTTTCCTTGTCGTCATGGTCGTTCTCGTTGCCATCGCTGTCCTGATCCTGATCCTGATCCGCCTCGTTTTCGTTTTCCTTATTCTCCTGCTTCAACTTAAGGGCCTTGCTTGCCTCACGATCCTGCTGCGACTTCTCCCAGGCCAGCTCGAAGGGATACTCCAAGGGCTTGAGTTCGTCGGGACACTCCTCCTGATTGGGAGCCGTGGCCTGGTTGATGGAAGCCCCACGCGTATGGATCTGCTCCAGCTGGGCTGCATTGTGAACCTCTGCATTGAGTCCTGTAATAAACTCAAACAGCTGCTCCTTCGTGTAGATGTTGGGCAGACCGCGGCGCTCAAAGAAGTTGACAATGTTGCCGCAATCCCGCATGAGAAACTCCAGGGCACTTGGGTGCTTCGGCTCGACACTCTGGGCCACATCGATGAACCAGCACTTGCCCTCAAACCACAGGATGTTGTACTCGCTCATGTCCGCATGCACCAGCTTGGCCTCGTTGTACAGCTTGTGCATGGCGGCCACGATCTCCTCGTAGGCGCAACTCAGCTCTGCGGCACTCAGTCGGGCATCCTTCAACTTGGGCGCCGCATTGTGGTTGTCGCCAATAAAGCGCATGACCAGCACATGCTTTTTTAGGACCACCACATCTGGAACATTCAAACCGATGCCCTGCATCCGCATCAGATTGTGCATCTCCTTCTCCGCCCACATATTGATGATGACGCGATGGTTCTGCTTGCTAAAACGATCCTTGAAGCGATAGTCGTCCTTGATGTACCGATCCCGCTGCTTAAACTCGTTCAGCGTGGTCTTGAATATCTTGATGGCGCACTCTTTTGGCAGCAGATGCGCTGGCATCAGTACACCGCTCTGGTGACCATGCTCATTGCTGCCCGTGTAGTTGGCATCCGAGTTGGCATGCAGAATAACCGCCTCCTTGCCCGTGGAGATGATGCCATTGATCTGCTCGAGTATTTGATTGTTAATCAGCTTGTACAACAGGAGGCGGGTGCTGGCATCCAAGCCCATCTCGGCAGTGGCCACTTTCTCGTGTTTATCAGAGCGTCCACGCCTGGAGTAGGCCCGCAGTTGGTTAAAAACCTATTAAACCATCAAAATCCGATTAAAATCTTCATCTCTTTTGAGATTACTTATCTCTTACCTTGTTGGACAGCTTCATATCGAATCCGGCTCCATCGCCGGTGGGAAACTCTGGCGGAAAGGACATTACCCGCTGGGCATTGCGCACTGCACATAGCTGCGGATCGTGCTTGGTAATCATCTCGCCCTCCTTGTTCACCTTGAAACCACAGCGTGGAATCGCATCCAGCTGCCGTTCGTTCTCCTCAAACCTATCCCAGTCGTGCTTTAGCTGCTCTAGCTCATCCTCCTCGTAGGCATCCTCGGCGGTGTCGTGCAGGAACTCGGCATCGCCGTCGCGCAGGAACTTGTTTAGCGTCACCGTGACCTTGGACTGCTTGTTCTGCTTACGTTCAATGCGACGCAGTTCCTCGTTGTACTCGTGATCGAACTGGGACTGCAGCATCTGGGCTATGACAGCATCGCTGTCCTCCTCCAGAGCCGGAATATCCTCGGGCAGCGGTATGTCGCTGTCGTTGAGCAGGGCCGAGTAATCCTCCCACTCCTCGGCATCGCTGGGTTTTTGCACGGAACATCCCGCCACATCGGAGTAGCTAGAGGAGGGGTTCGGGCTAGCAGCTCCTTGCCAAATGGAGGATATGACAGGCTGCTCCGACGGCTTCTTTTGCTTTTGCAGCTCCTTGTCGTGCAGCTGGTGGGCATACTGCTCTGACATTATGTCCGCCAGGTTCAATGCCTGCACTGGCTCACTGGCCTTAACCCATGGTGACGACATTCTAAGCGTGAGAAAAGGCAATTAACAGAGTGTTTTATAGGAAGCTCCACCCACAAACCTTTTGGCACTTGGCTGGACAATTTCGAGACCCGTTTCGGTGGTAATTGTGTGGAAGTCTGTGTGCCAAGCACAAACAAACCTCTTGTCAGATCCTCACCAGCTGCGTTTAGCAGCGGATTTGAAGTGTCCGGTCTCGGTGAGAATTCTATTTTATAGCGCAATCGAGGCGCGGCAGTTTAGTCAAGCAGTTACAACTCTGTTGCAATGGTTTAGCCCTTGTATTTCACCAAAAACAATGCGTTTTCCTGCGATTGTGAAATTATCAGATGGTTAAATAGAGATGGACCAAAATCCAATTGGAAAAGCTGCCGGAGTTGCCACATCAAGATCTTTGTCCCGTGTAAAATATCGATAGCACATACACAGGCTGATACTATCGGCAACGGCATATCGATAGGCTGATAGGCCCAGTAATCGACACTTTTTGTTGTAGTTGTACATTTTTCGCCAAAAATAATAATAAAAGTGAAAAATTTTTTTGTTAATACAATTCTCTTTTTTGTTGTACAAAGAAAAATGTTATTAAACTGATTCTCGTCGCGTTCTCCCCCTCCGTAAAAAATAACGGGATAAACGGCCGCCAGCAACGACACAACAACAACAAAGTGCAATAAATACGTGCCTAGAGTGCGCTGGTAAGAAAGATGGAAACAAAAAGCGAGAGAGACGAAAAGCAATCAAAATAGAATTCCGAATTTAGAATATGACAGACTGAAGAAAATGTTCAATTTTCGAACGCATTGCCGCTGGTGCTTCCTCTTTCCACTGTGCTTGCTGCCTGCCTGCTTTTAGCTGCTTCCTCTTCCTTCGCAGGCGAATGTGTATGATGATGTGCGCGGGGGACATTGGGGGTCAAATGCAGAGCCGAAAGATCGGGGGAGATTTCTGATTGGGATTCTTCTTCTGTTTTCTGTTTTCTGCTTTCCGTTTTGGTTGGATTTTCGTGCTAATTTGCGATTGCAACGCTCACCCACACCCACACACACTCACGCTTTTCGGCCGCCTGTAATTATTGTTTCTTCTTTCGTAGCGCCTTCGCTTTAACCGCCAACAAACGCTGCTCCTCCGCCGCTGCACTAACAAAAAAAAAGAACATACAAGAGCATAACTTAACCCACACGGAGCGAGGATAATGATAAAGTCCACCACGAATCCACAGGAACAGCGCCTGCCACGCCCCGAGGATCAGCAGCAGCAGCAGCCACAGCCTCCTCATCCGCCACAGCCCCCTTCTGCGCCCGCCACGCCCACGCACCAGGTGGCCGCCGTCATAGCCAACATGGACACACTGAAGACCGCCTTTCTGCCCAATCTCAGCATGGATCCCAACGTCCACGTCGCCCCACACTACTGTCCCATGTGCCACCAGCAGTTCGAGCGGGCGCAGCACGCCGCGGAGCACATGCAGCTCTGCCATGGGATCACGCTTAATGCACAGGGTGCCATCACCACGCTGGAGGCCGCCCAGCAGCAGCTGCAGCAGCAACAACAACAGCAGCAGCAGCAACAACTCAAGCCCAGCCATGCCTGCTTCAACTGTGATGAAAAGTTCGGTAGCGCGGTGGAACTGGACGAGCACCATCGGCTCGCGCATCAGACCACCGCCTTTTTGGCGCGGTGCCTCATGTGCAGCATCTATGGCGTCCACTCGGCCACCCAGCAGCCCAACGAGTTCAAGTGTTCGCAATGCGGCTCCGTTTGCACCACAGCCATGCTGGCCGCCGGACAGCAGAGCTTCATGGATCAGCAGCAGGAGGCGGCAGTGACGCCCGATGATCAGCTGCCGGCGATGGCACCGCGTGATATGAGACTGACGCCCGAGGAGCAGCACCACCAGCAGCAACTGCAGGCGGAGCAGCACCACCACCAACAGCAGCAACAACAGCAGCAGCAGCAGCAGGAACTGCTGGAGCAGCAGCAGCAGGCGCAACATCAGCAGGTGCAGCATCATCAGGACCAGGATCTCGCTGGCGGCGATCAGGTGGCGTTGAAGGTGCCACCGCTAACCGTCAAGTTGAACAAGAATGGAGCCAATGGCAGCGGCGGGGCCATTGTGGCCCATCCGCAGGTGATCATCAAGGAGGAGCCTCTTAGTCTAAGTGATAGTGGCGATGTGGGTAACGCTGTGCCCGTCTATGCCATACAAGCGAATCCCGGCGTCACGGCCCCAGGAGCCACATCCACGGTGCTCGTCGGCACGCAAACAGTGCCCGCAGATCTGGCGCATAAGATACGGCACAAATGCCCGGACTGTCCGAAGACCTTCAAAACTCCCGGCACACTGGCCATGCACCGCAAGATCCACACAGGCGAAGCAGAGTAAATCCATTTTATATGCATCCTACTGACCATTAGTATTCCTGCAATGTTTCCTGTTTTTGAGTAACTGAGATTAGATTGGGAAGTTAAGGGAATTGTTTATAGGAAATTTTGGAAGGTATTTTTGTTTTAGAATTTAAAATATTTATTATGGTAGCAAGTAAACCCATTATAAAATATTTTAAATTGAATTTGGTATAAGCTTTTCAACGTTTCCTTTTTTATTTGGGTTTAAGAAGAGTTCTAAGAGTCACTTAAACCAAAAGGAAGTCATTTAAACGATTAGATCTTTGAAGATTTTAATTTATATTCAATAAATTATTATTTTAAGTATTTATTTATTTTATTATAGTCACTTAAACCAAAAGAAAGTCATTTAAACGATTAGATCTTTGAAAGATAATTAACTTTATTAATGAACCTACTAAAATATTGCCTAAAAAGAACCATAAAAAAGCAGGAAGTCATTTAGGTGATTAGATATTGAAGAACTGATATTCTTTAGTTAACTTTCTAGAAGCTACAATATACAAGAGAAAGTGTTAATAACTTATAAATAATAATATTTAAAAGTGCAACCATACTAAATCCCTTTAAACATCATTTTAATAGACCTTAAACAACTCAAAAACAGTTACTAAAATCATTGCAGGAATACCCATAGTCATTCATATTTTTTGGTCTTCTCCAAGCTGGCAGCTCAAAGGGAACTCAATTTATTCTTATAATACATTCGATTCCCTTTGGGTCAGCAGCAGCTAAGAGAGATCGTGGCCAAGCTAACCCTTATAATCTTACCAGTCTTTGTATATAGTATATATTATTATTTTTGTTTTTTCCTACGGTGCCCAGCTGAGCGCATGGGCGCGCCCTCGAAGCTTTTGGGACGTTTAGCCCATGCGTTCGTGTGTCGTTTGTCGTTTGTTTTGCTATTTATTTTTATATATCGAGTGTTACTAATAATATAATTCGAATTTCTTTCTTTTCTCCCGCGCCACCTCTCTCTTTCTCTCTCTCTCTTTCTCTCTACTCTCTTCTCTATCTCTCTTCGCGTTATTTTGTGATTATGAATATATATGAATGAATGAATCTGTATAATTCTTAACTCTCGACTCCGAATCTCCGCAATCTCCAGCGCCACGCCCAAAGAACGCCCCTACACGTGCTCCTACTGCGGCAAGTCCTTCACTCAATCGAATACACTAAAACAGCACACTCGCATACATACAGGTGAGAAACCCTTTAGATGTGGCTATTGTGGCAGGGCGTTCACTGTTAAGGATTACCTGAACAAACATTTAACGACTCACACGGGTGAGAAGCAATATTTTTCAAATCAATTCAGTCAGTCAATCAGCTCTCAACTCAATCAATCAATCGACTCGTCAATCAACCAATCAATCGAACCAAACTACATCACCTCAGTGTGATTAGTAACAAAAAAAAAAACAAAAAAAAAAGCAATACTCCAAAAAAAGAGAAACCTCTGTATGCAAGTCCATTTCCATTTGCCATACACCTCAACCTCGCTCTCAATCGATCAGTATCAGTAAAAGTATCAGTCTCTCACCTGGCACAGGAATATAGTAGAAAAAAGGCTAACCTTTAAAAGGATGTCACTTGCTCATAAGATTATATATATTTAAAAGTTTTAAAAAATATGTAAAAATTTGTTAAAATGCCATGCTTATTTATTTTATCCATACATCAAAACTGGACATTATTCTAAGATACACACATAAAAGATGTTTTTAAAAATAAGCTGATTCAGATGAGACAATCTTCTACCTCCTCTGTAAGCAATGCTGACCAAGCTTAATTTTCAAAAGTAATTGAACCCAGTTTGCAGCTAGAACTCTTTGAGAATCAAAGTCCAGCTTGAACCTTTTGGGAATTATAGTCAAAAACTCTTTTAGAACTCCAAAAACTTTATTTTATCATGAATAAGAAATGGAAATTGAAATGTGTCTTATAAATATTTTATTTCAACTAATAAAAGTTTTTTAGTTAGTTAATAGTTAGTAATAATAGTCAGCCAGCCAGTCAATAATTTAAACCATTATAAACTTTCGACTACTTTCGGTCCATAGTTATCAGCTTAGCGATTACGCTGCCTTTATTAAGTAATTCAAGATTAGAATCAAGAGATGATGCCTCCAATTAAGACCCGCAACAGGTTTCAGCAGCAGCAGGTGACATTCAGAGCGAGCCTTTTATTTTTGCCATATTCTTCGATTTCTTAATAACGAACGAATCGAATGAGTCACTGTTTACATTGCCCTCACGATGAAAATAATTCTAATTTGGCACTCTGTCAAGCCGTGAGGGTATCAATATATGATAATCCAAATCCGTATCGCCCGCCGCCTCATCTCATTACGTAATAATATGTCTCGAATGCATTTTAACACCACGAACCACCAACTATATATATATATACACACACATTTACTATATAATCAATATATACATAGTTTGATTACGTGCAAAAACCTCTTTTGATATGCATTTACACATATCTACAGTGCCTACACCCATCAATCAACCAATCAATCAGTCAATCAAATTCAGTTTTTTGGTACTTGCACGCACCAATCAATCTCAAACTCAAACTCAAAACTCAAAATCAAAAGTGGCGACTTGCATAGCGACAAGTGCTAACCGAGTGTTCCAACCTTTTTTTTCTCTCCCTTTTTTTGCGATGGCTGTTTTTGCAGGTGAGAAGCCCTTCCATTGCGGCTACTGCGAGAAGTCCTTTAGCGTGAAGGACTATCTCACCAAGCACATACGGACGCATACCGGCGAAAAGCCATATACCTGTCCGTACTGTGACAAGCGCTTCACGCAGCGCAGCGCCCTAACGGTGCACACGACCAAGCTGCATCCGCTCTAGGGCAGGCCGGGCGGTGGCCGCCAGTTAAACGTTGCTGCCTCGGCCGATGATCCACCTCCTCGAGATGCTAAAGCCGACGCGGATCCCAAGAAGCCACCGGCCTAGAGGAAGCAGCAACCACCCAAGAAACAAAAAATGAAAGACCTATTTCAAAGACGAGACACAGAGACACACACTCACCACTCACTCACTGGAAGGCGAGGAAGGAGTGGAGCGGATGCAACCAACGACTGGCAAATCTCTTCACAGTGCTGCTAGATACTAAATTAGATTTTCATTAAAAAGATTCGGTTAACACAAGAAGCAAAAAACAAAGTTGTACTAAACACTAGCGTACAGTTCGTAGTATGTTTAAGTTATTGCAATCGATTTTTGATTTTTATTATTATTATTATCATTATTATTATTATTTTTGGTTATGTAGATGTTTTGCAATTTTACACACACACACCTATTGTATATCGTATATCGTATATCGTATATTTGTTATTCTATGAGATTTTATATGGTGACTCCTTGGCGCACACTCACTAAAGCGCACACTACCCGACACGACACAGAAACACAGACACACTACACGACAAAAACACAAGACCTACACAACGTCTATTATTTATAAAGAGATAGAAAATATTTTTTACTCATTATACTTTGTGGCAATATTATTTTTACTACTTCCTGAACTTGTTTTCAAAATGTTACAAAAAGAGAAACAGCAAAACAATGAAAGGTAAACAAAAAAACAAAAAACTCATCATGTCTACGCGCAAAACTTAAATTATTTTTTAAATTATACATTTATATTATTCGAACTCAAAACAACACACAAAATTATTATTTATTCTCTATACACTTTTCAAAATTTCTCAAAACTCGTAGAGAGGAAATGGCGAAAGGAAACACACACGAAATTTAGTCATTTCTTTAACTAAAAACAAAAACATATATTTTTGCACACGAGCAGGATCTCGTTTGTTTTGGCTTTAACAAATTTATTTACTTTTAATTTTAATAACCAAATGATTTAATCATTTTTTAGCTTGTTTTTATTGACAAAGAGGAAGTGAAATGTTAACCATTGTTTATTTTTTAAATTATTTAAGTTGTGAAAGCGCTGCTTTTGTACGTAACAGTGAGATTGTATAAAAACAAAACAAACAAAAAACTAAACCAATCAATTAACTAAGAAATTAATTTTACAAAATTTGCATTTTTTTAACGCAATAAAAATAAAAAAAAAACAAAGTATTTAAGGCAAACAATTTAAAATTAAAATGAGAATTAAATCTACGCTAAAACGCAACACAGCTTTATGCGCCAAACTAGAACTTTAAAAACAAATTTAACATAACGATCCATCGATACTTCTCGAGTTGTTTTTTGTAATATATTATAAATACGGATCCAACATTTTTACTACTACCGATCGATCGATCACTTGCAAGACGATGATGAAGAGTTGTACGTACTAAAAACCAACTAAAACTTAAACTAAAAACTGTAGCAAAACCAAAACCATGTACATTTTTATAACATAGTGTTATATAATTATAAAGTATACAAATCTATATATATATATATATATAAATATAAACCTGTATCTAATATTAATGCATAATACACTCAAAAACAAATTGTCTACCTAACGGCACATAGCACAGCAACAAAAAACGATGCGCAGCGCATGTAAAACCAAAATAAATTCTAAGTACTAAAATATTGTAATTCATTAAGTTTTAAATAAATTAAAACCGAGATGAGTTGACGATCAAAACAAGCTGGCAGAGAAATCAACAAGAGAACGAAAGCTTAACTAACAGCCGCAGCACTAATTAACTCGAACTCGAAAAAGCCCCAGCCACAGCGAACGCCATGTGATCAGTGATCAAAAGAAAATTAAAGCACTATTTGTACACTACTTTTTCAGTCATAAAACCCCTTAAACCCCCCGATTTTAAAGCCTCGTGTCAATGATCTCTGATCGAAAAGCGTGGCGTTGGCAGGCGGCATCACGAAACTAATCACGATACGTACTAAATACTGACTAACTATTAGATCTTAGCCGCGAATCAACCAAAAAAAACGAAGCCAGACAGCCACAACAGACACCTACACACACAGAACACACACGATCATAAGCAAGTGAGTAATTAGCAATTAAATGTAATTAAAGTGAAATTTATTATAATTATTACTATATATATAAATATATATTACGACTATGTATGTAAATGTACTTGCAATCTTAATTTACGTGACAAAAAATAGCAAATATTCGAGCAATATTTCAATTAAAAAAAAACGTATAAAATGAAACAATACATAAACAAAATAAAGTCCAACAACCAATGTAGAAAGATTATGTACGAAAAGAAAAGGAAGAAGGTCTTTTGAGCTTGCGGGGTTCCCTAATTCTTGGAGCATATATAGTTTAAATTTTACGTATTAGCTTTGTAAATATTGAAAAATAATTGAAAATCTAGGTTTTCTAATTTCTTGTCTGTTTAGTAACTTATTTATAATTTTTTGTTTTGTATTTTAATTTTATATTTAAAAAAAAGAAAAGACAATTTATTTAGTGGCATCATTTTATAGTCGTCTTTATCCTATAGATTTTGAACTTTAAATTAGTTAAGAAGATAAAATGTGATATTTTATATCAGTCATTTATTTAGTATTAAAAGATAAAATAGAAGTTTTTCGGGAAAGATCCTATTTAGACTAATTTTAAATTAGTTCAAGATCGTACTAATAGAAACAGCAAGAACATTTTTGTAGACATTAAAAACTTCAATACTTTTTGAACACAAAATCAGACAGGAGATAGAGAATTTAGGGTTTGTTTTAATTTATATTTTTGTTAATATCAAAAACCACTAAAAGGATATCCCAAGTTTCGCCAATACCATTTATATGAAATATGTTATCTCAAGATTTATTGTCTATTTTAAAATCAATCTGCTATATTTTTCTAAAATTATTACTTACGTAGGTTCAAATCAAATCCCCAACCCAAAAGTCGAAACACCTTTTCCATTTGATCATTTTAGTTTATTTTAGTTGCTTTTGTTTTCTCATTTTTAATTACAATGAACGAATATTATGAACACTATCACACTTTCAAAATGTTTTCTGTTTCTTTTTTCCAATCATCTTTTGTAGTTTTGCGAGACACTTATTTAGTTTGCCTCTCGTTTCATTTGGTTTTGGTTTTTCCTTTTTATTGTAATGCTGATTACACTCATATATATATATGTATATATCTTTATATATAATATAAGTTAGTTATATGTTTATGTATATGCCATAAATATTTTTTTTTTTACACGCACACTTTTGATCAAACGCAACCAAAAGTTGGTTTTTATAATTTTTTGTTTGTTTATGTTTAAATTTTACTTGTTTTTATTTTGGTTTTAAATGCTCAATTTGTTGCATGCATGTTGTATGTTTACCTAATTTAACCATTTGCCATGTTTTACTCGCTATATATTTTGTTATAGTGTATATAGATATACCTTTTATAACCCTTATAAATGCCCATATCTGTACTATATGTTTTCTATGGACTTGTGTGTGTGTCTTTTCCCCCACAACGACGACCGTCTCCAAAAAACTTCTTTATTGCGTACATTTGAAATGTCCTTTTCGCTTCACTTTGTGTGTGTTTTCAATACTCTAAAACACGAACTTCTTTTGGGAGAATAACGAGGAATCTAAGATGTTGAGAAATCTCGGGGGAAATCAACTAATAATACTTGACACGAAATTTCGTTACCAAAAAAAGGAAGGTATTATGGGTTATCCTATAGCCTCTACTTGGTATATCTTGGTGTTACTTTCACTGATTTTCGAGGAATTGTAACAATTTGTTGTCCTATTTTTCGTGTATTTACAAAAAACTTTTCGGATGGGTTTAGGAATTACAAGTATACAATTTATGATACAAATATAATATTTTGATAGTTAAGTTATAGTAAGACGTAAAACGTACGATAGTTATGTGGGAATTTCTCATTACTAGTTTTTAGTGTTTGTTTTACTTTTTTTTAATGCCTATAAGCTCAAATTTACAACTGATTATTCACTGATTTTTCGCTGTGTATCCGCTCTTTCATTTTGTAGAGTTTTAGTGTGGTTTTCAGGTTGATTTAAAAAAACAGGAGGCAAACAAGAATTGTTGTTGAGTGTTATAAGTAGTAACTATTGAGGAGGAACTTAGAGGTTAAACAAAATTCGAATAGGTTTCTGTTAATAATAGTTTCTTAATCTTTTGACTTTTGTTTTTAACAGTTTCATCGTTTACCTACACAGGTGGGCTCTTTATATACTTTGCTCTCTTTCGTTCAACTTTGATTTTTTTGATCAGTGAAAAACTGAAGATTTTTTGAGAGAGAAATCAACAAAAGTAAAATCCTCTAAAAATTTATCAAAATTGTACAAAAAACTCTTTTTGCCTGGCTTTCTTTACTACTTTTACTTTTCGTTTTCTCTTTTAAAAATAAAGTAATGTTTGTTATTGTGTGTGTTTTTGTGTGTTGCTTTTCTTTCTGCCTTTCTGAGTTTGCGTTTTTGTTTTTCTTTCATTGCGAAATTAAAGTAATTCTTTTATTGTTTGTGTTGTTTGTCGCTATTTTATATTATAATAACTAACCCTCGCTCACACATATACATATATTATCTACATAGACCAACATGCATCGTACTTAATACTTATGTACAAATAACCCTCTCTGATCCGATATTACTTAAGCTTTAACGAACGAGCTTCCTGCGCGAGCATCCATATCCTTACTTTGAGTGCGAGACAACGGAGTGGGAGACCATCGAGTGGGAGAGCATTGAGTGGGACACTCCAGAGATTTCTGCATAGGTGTCCGTGGGTCCTTCGGCGCTGCACACCGAGTCCTCGGGCGTGCGCGATGGCTCCGCCTCGGTGATCTCGATGTCCTGGTGGTGCTTGTTGCTGCGATGTTTGGCACTTAGAGCCTAAGAATGTTGAAGTTATAGATTAGTCTGAGTTTAATAATTAAGTTATGTCTAGTTTTTAGCAGTGTGCATTCTGTTTTATTATTTTTTTTTAGACATGAAATGGTGCTATCTAGGGGACAACGGACACATGCACACGCACAAACACTCAATTTTGGGGTTTTTTTGAATGTTTTTTCTTTGGGTTTGATAGACAGACGTGCTTTGGAAATAATTCTGGGAGTTTACAGACAGTCACAACACACATGGAGTTTTAGGGGTTTAGGTTTTTAAGCTATATGGCCGACAGTTCTTACCTTATCCTTGCTGCCCTTTTTCTACATTGAACATTTTGGTGGTTTTTGTATTTGTTTGGTTTTTGTTTTTTGGTTGGTTGTGGTGGTGGGATTCGAATTTTTGTACATAGTCATGACAAGAACAATGATATTTATAGATGTATATATATATATTAATATTAGTGGCATACAAAAATACTGAGCGTTAACAATTCAGGAGAGCGACAGAAAGTCCAGAATCGGAGATAGTGAGAGAGAATTGGGGAGAGAAATATAGATCTAGGGAGCTTGGGATAGGTTTTGATTTTGCTTTGAAGAAAGAGAGTTTTACAGCAACCTGAGCCAGGGAGAGAGAGATGATGTCCTACTGCCCGGGGTCTTGATTCTCCCCTCGTGGATCATGTCATGTACAGTGAGCACTATGAGCATTTGGTGGGACTACGAACGGGTCAGGTAATGGACCACTCACCTGCAAGGAGAAGCGACGATGACCCGCCTTGCGTCCGCCACGTCGCTTGCTGATGTGCGGATTGTCCTGTCGCAGGGTCTTGTTCTTCAGAATCTCCAGTTGCGTGTACAGTCTGGAGAAGGATCATAGAAAATATAATTTAAGACGATTTTTATTTATGGTTAAATCAAAATAAATAAAGATTTTAGCACTTTTAAAACGATATATCTCACCTTTTGAGTTCGGCACGTATGTCCTCGGGACTCATTTCGGATATGGTCAGCTCCCCAATGTCCGGATCGCCCAGACAGAGGCCGGCATAGCCGCCGCCCAGCCGCTGGCCGGCGTCGTGCGAGGTACCCTTGAAAGCATCCACAGGTAAACGTATTGATAGATCATACGCTAGCGAACGAACCTGCAAGCTATGAAGATGCAACAAACACCGCAAACCACACTCAAGGAAGTCGAAACTCAAAATGGAGAAAGGAAACGGAAATGGAAACATATATAGAAGAACTTAGGGTAAGAGAGAAAAAGGAAGAGAGAGCTGTGCTTATGTGGGTGTTATGTGTGAGCGCCTAGGGGCGGTGACTGTGTCTGCTGTGGTGCTGGAAATCAGAGAGAAAACAAATCAAAAAGGTAACTCAAAATATAAAAAAGTTGGACGGACTTTAGCAGCTAGTTAGAAGGACTACTTAGACAGAGAATTCAGTTTTTTTGGGGGAATTATGTTGGATATATATTCGAGAGAGAGAGACACAGAGACAGACAGAGCGAGGAAACTAGTTTTGTTGATTTTGTTCTTAAAAAGGAAACCGATTTTTGTCATTAATTTAACATTTTTAATTAAATTGTTATTTTCCATGCAAAATTCAATGCTAAGACATGCAAATAAAAACAGCGTGCTTATTAATTTAAAGTGCAAAAAAGTATAAAGTACAAATTAAACACGAGACACACTTGCAGCAACTTCATAGCTTGACTAAAGTTTCAATTCAATGTTAGCTTAAGACTAAATTTATGTTAATTTAAAACTTAAACTAAGGGTAACCATAACCAAATGAACTTAAAGAACTGTTGTTGTTGGCGGAAAAAGCAACAAAGCTTTCCCCTTCGCTAGTTAATAGTTAGTTTATATTAACAAAAATCGTTTCCTCAATTAATACCAAATGCGGTTGTTATCCAGGACGAAGACGAATGGCAATGATTTACAGCATATATATTGTATATAATCAGTATATAATGGTATATATAATCCTTCTTTTTTTTGACGACACAAGTGAACAGGGAGCGACTAAGATACCGCAACTTTCTAACCTTTATCCTAACCAAACCAAAGCTCAAAAATAATTTAAAAAAATAAGAAAATTAAAAGAAAACAATAATAAAAGTAAATGAAATCAAAAGAAACGCTTTCAGGTTACCTGCTTGTGCTGATACCACAACTTTGGCACAAATATCAGACCCAAGGCGAAGCTGTTCGTCAGCTGCGAGCGCACAAACAGAGCCAGCAAAATAGCGCTGGGACTCATTTCCGGCAGGTAGACAAAGCGCAGGAAGTAGAAGCTCGAAGAGACCAGGAACTCCAGCGTCAAAGCGGTCACCAGGAATTGCCTTTCCTGTTTAAGGATATAGAGAAAATAAAACATACTCTGTAACCGTCCAGCAAAACTCACCCTGAACTGAGTATTGGCATTCCGACTGGCTATGGACAGATGGAGTCCAAAGCATAGGATGAGCATCTCGCTGGTCTGCGTGACCAGCTCCCACTTGAGCGGATGGCAGGTATTGGTGTCCGCCTCCCGCAGACTCTCCAGCTGGGCGCTTTCCAGCAGATCCAACGAGGAGGCCGTAAAGGCGGCCATATAGCAGATGACGGCAAACACCATCGTTCCCAGATACTTGAGCAGGTCCACATCGCGCAGAACCCAGCGATGAGCTTTCCTGGTGCGAAAGTCCACCAAATGGCGATATAGCTTCAGGATAATGGCGCCATAGCAGGTGATGAAGCCCAGTTCGCGCAGCCAAGGCTCCAGGAGGCAACGTTCCGTGGAGGCGGGAAAGAAATGGACGGCAACCTGACAGGAAAAAGGATAATAAATAAATTAAATATATAATAAATAGAATATAGGTTTCCTTCAGGATGACTATCACTCACGGATGCATAAAGTAAAACAATGCCCAGCAGTATCGTCTCCAGCACAGTCCACATGCCCGAGGCAATGGCCTGAAAAATGTATTTAAATATTTTGGTATTTATTTATTTCATTAAAAATTATGATTTAAATTAACTTTACCTTGCACTTTCTTTGCCTGAACACAATCACGCTCAAGACCACACAGCATAGGATGCAGGCCCCTAGGACAATGGCCACCAGTAGACGTAGGCAGGCGTCCATATTGAGAACTTCCTCCTCCTGATAAGTCAAGCAGACTCCGTTGTTATCGCAATTCGAGCATCCCCCAGGACAGGGAATGCAAGAGTAGTTGTCAAAGCCCTCGGACAGCTCTACCATATCGCCACGGAATCCCTGAAGGGTGGCGTTGGGCAAATAGTAGGATTCCCGGCACAGACACGTATACACGTCCCGTGTGGCAGCGGGTTTGTTTTCGGTGAGCAGGCAAAAAGTTGTATTTCGATCGCAACTGAGGAAAGTTAGAATCAAAATATTATTTTAGAAAGATAACATTATATTTATTATAATAATTTATTTATCTTCTTCTTTATTTATATTTCCTTTCTATAAAATTTAAACGTTGCCATTTAGTTCAGAGTTTTAAGTAATAGTTATCACCTCCTTATTAGCTTAAGTTTTTTGTTAACAACTTACCCATGACGACGACCAAAAACTTCCTCCAGGCCATCGTTGCACACATCCTCATCGGCAGCTATAAAAGCAGCCGCCACAATTCTGCAAAAGGATTACCATAAATAACGAATAAATAAATATATTTATATATATGTATGTGTAGTTTATGTGCTTCACTCACTTGATTCTATGCTCGCTGAAGGATATGCGAAACGGCCATAACCAGCGACGCGTCAACAGGTTGCAGTCCCGAAAGGGAGCTCCCCACTCCTGTGTGCCATCCGTGCTGTTCCAGGCCGCACTGTAATGGGAGGGAAAACCATTAGCATTATGGGCAAGCTGCCAAGTTTAAGTAAAACTATAAAAAAAAGGATGGAAGCTAATTAAATTAAGCAATTAATAAACTTTGGGTAAAGCAAAAGAGTTCTTAAATAGTAGGGTTTAAATACCAGGGTTTAAAATAATGTTTAAACTTTGGTTTATAACTAAATCTATCTCAGAAGTTAAATTATAAGTTATAAACAAATTTTTAAAAGGTTTTTATAAAGAAAATAATTAAAAATGTTATGTTAGACCAACAATTACCACCAATACAAGGTAGAAAGCTCTTAAAACTCACCCCAACTCCCGCCAATAGGAGCCCAAATACGCCTTATTATGCACCTGATCCGGTGGTATCTGCAAAAAGGTTAATGAAAAATTTACCAGGAATTAAAATATCCTATTTTATTATATTATATGATTAGCAAATGTGATTCTTACCGTAACGTTATCCCTGAATTTAACGACCACCGTGTGAATGCTGGGAGCGGCAATGGCAAAAGCCAGAAGATTGTCGTCTTCGTTGAGGGCATAGCTGGCAATGCCATTTGCTCGGCGACTCACCTCCGCACGTGTTGGCTCATCGATGGTAATCGGGGTATTGGCATTTGGGAATTTACTCGATAAAAATTCAATAAACTGCCGGGCGGCATCCTCGGCGATGTCGGTGAAGTCGTAAAACTGCAAGAAAAAAATTGAAACAAAATCATTAAAAAACAGGTCATATTTAATTTAAGGGGAAAAAGAGCATTAATAAAAAAATAAATATTATAAAATATGATGAGCGATGCTATGAAATATTTATTGCAGGAGATTTATAAGCTAAAAAAATATAAGGAAAATCATAGAAAAACAGGCATGAAATTAAAATGAATTTATGATAAACCGAATCTTAAAAAAAATCGACATAAAAAAGAATATAACAATTAATATTAAAGGCAATTTGAGCAATATAAAATTCAGAAAATATTAAAATAAAATATTGTTTTATATAGAATACTTATTATAAAACCCTCTACTAAACACTATAAATAATTCCCCACTCAAAATCCAATTAATTTCCAATTAATTACCCCAAAATACCAACTAACAAAGATGTATAAATAAATAATTTAAATTAGTGACAACGCCTCAATGAGGATTTGTGTGAAATACAGTGTAAATTCGGCAGAAATTACGTATACGCAACGACTGGCTTGTGATTTAAGTGACCACTGAGCACAATGTGGATGGACATTTCTCCGCCCGTCTAACATTAATTATTCACCTGGCACACAGGACACGTTTCCGACCGACACCTTTTTTTTGTTTTTTGTTTTTGCGACAAAAGAAAAGTTTTGTTCCGACTGGGAAATAATAGGATTTAATGTCCCCCATCGCCGGCTACTGGGGAATGTTTTTAATCCGAGTTTGCTCAGCTCTCCGCCGTAGACCACCGACCTAATGTTTGTACATAATTTACACGTTACAAGAAGCTCTCGAGATCGAGAGCTGGTGAGCTTGGGGGCGGCAGCGGCAGCAGCAGCAGCAGCTTAGATGACATCATTATGGCTTTGGGAAACAAAAGTAACCACAGCATAAGGCAAACAAAAGAGGGTAGTCCTCTGTCTCTGGATGGTGGTGAGTCATGTAGTTCATCTGGCAGCAGGCACCTTTTGGCTTTTAAAACAAATATTTCCCATTAGCAGAGGGCTACCAATGATGAGCGACCACATTGCGTATACGCCACCGAGGCCCCAAATAAATTGCCAACAAGCGGCAACGGCGATACACAAATGTTTGCGGCTCTTTCAGAGGCTCTCCTTCTCCCTTTGTAGGTTTTTGCATATTTATATGTAAATCTCCGCGCACAAATGAACATATCGAGGTGAAAGCAATCAGTGTAAGGTACAGATGAAACAGAACGACCAGGTTACCTACCTTCCTATACGACCTACTCCCAGATAGAGCTATGATGGAGTGCGCTGAACACTCGTATATATGCGGTGTGGCCATAATCATAAACCTGCGATATACCCTTTCTTATTGGTGAGGCTGGAGCGAGGGTCTTGGTTAAATATTGGACAATATTATGGGTGAATTTTTGGCATTTTTAGTGCCTGGCCTTTTCTTAAGTCAATTGAAAGTGTTTGTATCGTAAAGTAAGCTCTATGTTTTCATTTTCTTGGGAGTTTATTTGTACGAAAGGTAACCATGTTTTTAATTGAAGAGCAGAAAATTGGTTTAAGAAAAATAATTATTAGAAGATTTTTCAATGATTTAAAATAGATTAAAACTTTTTTAATGTTTTTTCTTTATTTTTAAAACCAGTCACAAAATGTCTCTACTAACCCATATACCCATATACAAAAGCGAGCCATTGTTAGGGTGAAAATGTATGTGGAAAACACTTGTAAATAGCGGCGGCAGCCACAAAACACACACCAAGTGTGTGTGCAATAAAACATGCATACTTGTGCAAACACACACTGTGAGTGTGTGTGTATGTCTAGGCTCTTGGCATAGTTGTTGCTACAGTGGGAGGCAAAGGCAGAGGCGGAGGCGGAGGCTGGGAAATGAAATCAGTAAAGCGCGTTTTACTGGCTTTTTAATGTCCATATTCCCGGCCCGCAATCCCATCTGCATTTCCCGTTTGGCATGTACAAAATTCCTACTTATGACCATAAAAATATTTACATGGCGTAACTGTAACTGTTGCCGTTACTTTAACTGGGTGTATGTGTTGTGTATGTGTGGGCCTGCTCTTCCTCATTGTCATTTGCATGTTTTTCCTTTTATTTTCTATGCTTTGTGCTTAATGAATAAAATATGTCAGACACTGTTTTCCTTTTGCCAGAGCTTTTCTTTTTGTTTTGCATTTTCCTTTTGGCTCAACTGCTGTTGACACTCACACACACACACACTTGCCAGACGACGGGGCTTTCACAGACAGGCCTCACTGTACGCCTGCATTCATTACATTATTCAGAGCGACAAGGCGAATGACATAAGCTGATTGCTACGGAAGTTTGCAGTGAGTGTGCGTGTGTGTGTGTGTTATCGGAATAACATAAATGATTCTGTTGAGTGGTAATGTTTTTTAAATTTATGGCTCCATAAATAATAAATATGGAAAGGGTCAGCTTATTGGTCACTGAAATTAGTGTGTAAAACACACATGTGAATGCAAATGTAGTAATTAATGGGGTTTAAATGGGATAGTGGGGCAATTTGCATTGATTCCTAATTGTTTAGTCCTTTTTTGTGTCAATTAATCAAATACGGGTATTAATTGAATGTAATTTGCTTATATTTAAAGTTGATTAATTATTTTAGTTCATTAAATTAAATGCTGTAGTTAAGTAAAACAAATCTAAACGAATTTCATTAAGCTACTTTTTCGAGAGATTTAAAATCTATAGCAATGTAACAATAGATGCCCCTCATAGTAGCTAACGTTTCTGGCTTAAAGCCGCAATATGCGTGTCCAACATCGCACACAATAAGAATATACAAAACAATTATTAATAACTTTGCAGCTTCAACATTGTTAGGAAAACAGCACACGCAGACACGCAAAAAAAAAAAAAACCAACAAAAAGGAGGAGCAAGGCCAACTCCAGCTGGAAGCGTAACAAAAGTCGCCGCAAGACAGCAAGGAGAACAAGAGGAACAACAGTGACAACAGCAGCAGGAGCAACAGGAGCGCCAAGGACAAGGCCCGACAGGCATTCGACAAGGAGCCAGGGAACAAGAGATACCAGGACATACAAAAGCCAAGATGATGGCTTATCCCGTGGCATCATCTGTCACATTTACTTATTATTATTTTGACCACACTCGAGATTCAAATCGATGGAGGGATGCTTCACGGCGATTTACCAGCTTCAGCTCCATCTCCTGATCCTTTTGTTGGCCCTTTAATTACGCCACGCTGTCGGGATTGCGTCAGAGGGGAGTTCGCTGGGTAATCGATTCGAGCACGTCATGTATCGGACTCTGTTTACACCGCCGCCTCGTTGAATATTTATACGAAGCGTTTCGCGTAGTTGGCTAAAAATAGCAGGCAACACAAACTGACAGCCAGACGACGGGAGAAAGTCCTGCTGCTGAGCCTCAGGGGCTTCAAGGTCTTTGGGCTGCGATTGTCATGTAAATTCAATTAAAATATTATGAAGAACGAAACGAAAAAGAAAATAAAATATATATAATTAAATTAATTCAATCAGAGGAGAGTGTAGGCTCTGCCTGCTCTGCTCACTTCATTAGCATCTCTTAATTAACTTGTACGAGTGGCAGCTTCATAAAGTAAGGAACCTAGGCAGGAGGCGGCACACATCTACACATGAAAAGCTGTCAGGACAGGCCGCAACTCTTTCCAAAAATCTCGTGGTTTTCCTGTGTTTCTCACTCCTTGTGAAAAACTTCCATCCCGAAATTCTTGCTTGCGTCAGCCATGTCGTATGCGTAATATTTTTTTTTTTTTTACGACAATCATCAAGGTGGCCTGGCAGGCAGGGGATTTCAATTTTGCGCAAAGATTTGTGTCAGCATGAAGCCGACGAAGAGTAGAGAGGAGAGGGGAAGCACCTTATGTGAACAATATGTGGGCTGCTATCTCAGCAATTTTATTGATTATTGCCCCGACTTGGCAATTTTGTAAATTGTCGTTAATTGTCTCTCTGGGCCTTGGATCGATTCGATGTGCAAGCTGCACTCGTTCTCACAACTGTCCATCACAAGTTATGAAGGCAATCGAAGGTGAACTCAGACTACTTGGTATCCTTTTGATTGTTTGCAAACTTGAGTCACTAAATTGTACGGTTTACTTATTTCAGTGGCAGAGTTGCCTATGCATTTTGCTTGGCTGTAAGTACTTCTCGGGACTCAAAGTTTTCAACCTTCCTTGAAGCAGGGAATTATAGAGAAACATTCTGGTGCTGCTCTAAAGTTTAACGAATTGTCTAAACTTTACCAAGTATAAGTATAAACGGGAGTAAACTATTGAAATTCTTGGCTAAATGTTGAGAAATATATATATTACTTATGGAATATTTGCAATAAGGAGATAAATTTGTGTTTTTGGAGTCTTATCAAAGCAAAAGAAAGAGAAAAAAGTATTTATGACTCAGCTATTTGACTCAAGGAGGAATTTTAAAGTGCGGAAAATGGCATAAATAATGAAAGGACTTTAAACTATAGGTACTTTACATAAAAATGGAAGGGAAACCTGCTTTTGACCTAATTAATGCATTGATGACACCTCAAATGCTTGCTACTTAACATCAAAATATAAAAAACCCTCTATATAAATAAAAGAAATATATATAATAATTAATAAGATATATTAAACTTTCATATAATTTCTCTCACTTACCGGCTCATCTGGCTGCGTTTCCAGGACTCTAGGCTCGCATTTCTCCTCCGGTTTCCTGCTGTTGCTACTACTGTTTCCTCCCTCACTGGGACTGGACTTCGAGGATGTGGCAGCTGCTCCTGCTGATGCACCCGCTGCTGTGGCGGCGACTGTGGCTGGCGTTGTTGGTGTGGCGCTGCGCTTACGCAACCGCTCCGCTCGACTCAGTGCGGACACCACACTGACGGTGGGCGTTAGCTCGTCAAAATCCAGCCCGGATGCATCACGCAAATGGTACTCTCGCTCCTGGGAGTTCCCATAGGTGGAGGAGGCCAGCATGCCGCCACTCGGCGGCGGCGGCAGGTGGGCTCGCTTGTAATAGGCCAAAAGAGCATCGCGCCTGCTCTCGCGGGCAAATGGTGAGGGATTTGGATTGGAGGCTGCATTGGCGGTGGCAAGGCCGACTATCAAAAGCACCAGCAGCGAGTAGAGCGTGTTTAATTGTGTGCAGCAATTATTGTTGCCAAAGGAGGTGTTGCTGCTAGTGTTGCTAGCGTGGCTAGTGCTGCTTTGGCAACTCTTGTAGCTGCTTTTGCTGCTGCAGGTGTAAATAGTGTTGCTGCTGCTTTTGTTGCTGTTGTTTTTGCTATTGCTTTCCCTGATGTTGCTCTTAAGGTTGCTACGATCGCTGTTGCTGGTGGTGTTGCTCTTGTCACTAAAGTTGCTTCTGCTGCTTTTAAAGTTGCTGCTGCTGTTAATGTTATTAATTATGTTATTAATATTGTGGCTATTAATGTTGCTGCTGCTTCTGCTCAAATCTGATAATGTTGCTTGTAATGTTGCTCGTTGGTTTTCTAGTTGCTTTCTCAGGTGGTCTAGATCTCTGTGGCTGCTGCTTGTGCTGCTCTCGCTGTCGCTGTTGCTTGTGTAAGTGCTCTCTACCTGAGTACTGGTTTGATTTTGGTGGCATTTCTTTTGATAATTGCTAGTTTGCTGCTGCATTGAACTCTGGTCTGTTTCCTTTTTTGACTTTGCTGCTATGCACTGTTCCATATCACTGATGTTGCTCTCGTTTTGGTTTTTGTTGCTTTTTGTTTTGTTATTATTGTTTTTACTGGCGAGTTGGAAAAAGTTGCTCGGCGTCGTGGGTGTGGCAGCTTCGACAGGTGTAAAACGAAATTGTGGCACAGTGGCGCGCTCATCTGCGAAAATTAGAAAAGTTTTGTTTGTTATGTTGCTGCGGTTTAGCTGGTGAATATATCAAAAGTTAGAAAAAAAAGAGGGAAAACAACACAGTTTGGCCATACTTTTAATTAAATTCCTTGTTGGCCATATAATCAATAAATAACAAACTTGTAGCCACATAAAAAATAAGCAAAAAATAACTTTCATTTTTTCATAAAGTTGATTTTAAAGCACTGAAGGAATACATTTTTATGTATATATTTATTTTAACGCTGCATTTATTTTCTACTACAAAAATTAACCAATAAAATCGACGATAAACGTGGCCAAAAGGCCAGTTTCAATTACTCATCAAATATTTGCGGTTTTATATTTTTGAACCCATCTGCAATTTCATGTTCAATTAAGTTTTGTCTGCATTTTTGTTTAAAAACAAACAAGTGGCATTCATTTGAAGGCCCGCCACTAAGCACACTCCCCCGCAATCATAGAATTGCAACTGAAATCAAAAGCCACACTGACATATCGTCACCGCGAAATGGCAATTTTTATGGCAGCGCCAATTGGAATTTAATTGAGAAAACTAAACAAACAGTTGCTAATGACGTTTGCGGAAATCAAAATTAAACGAATTTAATTTAGAAGACAGTAAAATTCTCTCTTTAGCATTTGAAGACTCTCTCCTGGGGACTTTTAAAACCATGTAAAAATCCAGGAAATCTTCGCTGACTGTGACTGCAATTAAAGCATTAAAAAGCACTACCAGACATGCAAAACATGTTTCAGCTAGGAATTTCCCTGGCCAGCTACAAGGTCCTTCCTTCCCATTCCTTCCCAATCCAATTTCATTCAATTCAATCCCCAGAGACTGGGCGTGGCTCTTGCTGCACTCAAGTGTCGCCCCCGCCCTAGCGTTGTGCTATAATTTTTTTGTTGTCGAGTTCTCACTGTTTTCTTTTTTTGCAATTTTGATTTATGAATTTTCCCAAAGAGAGAGAGAGAGACAGCAAGGGCTTGATTTTATACCCTCCAATATGGGACGATGACAGGCAGCAAATTGGCCAAGCGATTTGGACAACTGCAACAACTGTGCTGGAAGGCAAACAGGTGTAAAAACAATTTCCGCTAATTGAAATTAATTTTCATGACTGCAACTGCATGGGGCGGCAATGGGTCACATTTTCACGGATTTGCAGGAAGCGAAGGTGTGTAAGTCAGCAATAGTTGGCACATGCGCCATAAACAAGTTGTGATTACGTGATTTGGCCAAATGCCAGAGCAGCCAAAGGTAGTAGCAAAGGGCTGGCGGATGCTGTGCCGATGAACGGAGAAAAATATTCTCAAATGTCCATTTAAGGTAATTTAATCTGGGAATTGCATTTTTCTGTGGTACTTTATAACATTATTATGAGCTGTCAATATGGTTTACAGAATGTTTATTCAATTGTTTATAATTGTAGAAATTTTCTACTTTATTTAGCATGAAATCTTTATATCTATAAATATTGATATAAAATATAAAAAATAGTGATAGATACCCAAGCAGATAATTAAAAACTATAACGGTGGATTTTTAGACACTTAACAGGATTTTAAAGTTTTTTTTTATCTCCCTGTAATTATTCGCAGTTTTACCCACTTAAAAACTATTTCATATCCCAAGAACCCATTATTTTTTCAGTGTTTCCAGATAACTGGTGCTAAGCTCTTGTGTTGGTATTGCCGAGTTTTTTTTCTGATTTTTTGTTCACCCTGTTGTTGCCTGTTTTCTGCCTGGCTGAGCTCACCTGGCCTCACCTTGACACTCGCTCAACTGCAGCTAATGCGGCAGGGATGCGAGAACGTATCTTCAGCGTAACTCTGGCTCTGGATATGTGTATCTGTATCCTGATTCTGGTATCTGGCACCTGCTTTCGGGACATTCTGTGTGTTTCAATTAACCAGATTTCGGCTGCTACCTTGTCGTGTTCAACTGTCTTGTCGTGTGCCAGTTTGTTGTTGGCTGTCACCTGAAAGTTGCATGTTTGCAGTTTGCAGAACAGAACATGGGCCCCTTCTTGACTTTTGCCACAATACACACAACACAAATCGCAAATCCCGAAATCACAAATCACAATTCGTTTGCCCATCGGCCGCATTTCAATCCCCAAATTGGATTTGTTGAGGTGCCTGTCAGGCTTTTCTGTATTTATCTCTCTGACAACTTTAGTATGCAAATTTCATGGGCAAACACAGCAACACAGCTAGGAGAGATTTGGTCATTTGTCCAACTGTTGAATATTCATATATTTTCTGGCCAATATTTTATGTTCCTCTTCCTGCCTCTTGTAAATTGTGGTAAAATATGGCTGGGCGGAAACAGATCCATTCCTAAGCGGATTGCAATTTAATGCAAACTGCTTTAATAAACATGTTGTTGCTGTGGCCTGTGTGTCTAAATAAAGGCATTTATGCTTTGAAGGATTTAATAATGCATGTGCAATCCATGCACTTAATAAATCAAATGCAAATAAATTGGTTTAGAGTAAACACAATTTAGAATTTACTGGGAAATCCTCTTTGGAAATGTTGTGAAGCATGAATGTACATATTCGTAGATTGGTTTTAGTGCTACGGAATAAATAAAACAATGGTTAGAGGAGTGACTCATGCATAAATTTCCCACAAATGATAGAGTTGTGGATTTTTCCGTGTTACTTTTTCGTAACTCTCCTATTTGTTCCTGCTGTGGCGCTATGAATAAGGTAAGCGAATATAAGTTTTCTTAAAAAAAACAACAAAGATATATAGTAAAAAGTGTAACTTAATCCCAAAATACATGAGATTAATTTTGTATATATGTACATATCCTGCCAATGAATCCTTGAAAATCTATTTCATCAAATCCCCGATGGTGTGCAAACTCTTGCCATTATTCCATTTCCATGAGGGAGAGAATATTATGAAACCTACAAGAGCTGAAATCAAATTAAGGACTTTTGGGTAACTAAAGTGGATTACAATATGAAACAATGGAACTGTGCTGGAATAAGCAAAGAGTCTCAGGATGCACTCACACTAAAGCGCACACACACGCACACTCGCACAGTGCGGCTGTCAGTTCATCAATGGGAGAAGAAGATGGATCCTGAGGCGTGTCCCGACATCGAAAGTAATGTCTTCTGGCCCCGTGGCAACATAATGAGCTAAAAATAGCAAGGTCCTGGCGGCAGGACGAGACAGGGGGGCATGTGTGAGTGGCAGAGACAAGAGGCAAGAGCGCTTTCATTAGACAAATGTTATTTCGCACACACACACACAGTCGCTGAAAGAGAGACAAAGCTCAGGCGTGAAACAATCAAACAATGCAACAAAGCACCGACACACACACACACACACTCACCAAATGGTTAACAATTAAACAATGAGAGAGCAACAAGCAATTGCAGAAGAAGGAGCGAGAGAAAGAGAGAGAGAGCGGCACAATAATAAGGAGTGCCGCTGACAGGCTCGAGGACAAATTGTTCGCCGGTCTCGCAGCATTCCATTGTCCTTTGCGCTCCGCTTAAGCCAAGCAGCTGTGCTCCTTAAGCCACCCACGAAATGTCGCCCACCAAAAAGGACCTTTCCTCCGCAACGAAAAGCCAACAAATCAGACAACATCGCTGGAAATCGCTTTCCCTTGTGCCTTTGTCGGAACATTTTTGGCTAAAAGCTTCGAGTGCCAGTCCCAAAACACTTTTCCAATTAGGCCTTTTCCTAGACATATTTGTGAGCATATTTATACAGTTACAGTGTGCACATAAACACAATGGATGCTCTCGAGTATTTGGTTTTTTAAGCCTTTTTAGGAGAAATATTTTAGTTAGTTGCTAATAATAAAAAGTGTAGGTAAGTTTAAGTCTCTTTGACGGGTACCCCCTAATAACTAATTACCTTTTTTACTGGTTTAAAATTTAAATTAAAAACAATTCCAATTTTGCATAAAATTAATTTCTTTTTTTAAGTAAACCATTTTAAGTTTTCCTAGAATTCCCAACCACTTCTAAGTGCAATCTGTTACAAAGCTTTCTAAATGTTGAGATCGGTTAGCAATTGGATACAGATTGGGAAGTGGTGTCTTCCTTTTAAACCTGTTATCCAAGCCTGTTTTTTATGTTATATTTTTAACTTGTTCTTTAAAAACTATGAAAAATATATGGCATTATACAAATATTACAAATAAAGCATTTTATTTATATATTTTCTGCAAAAATCCATAAAAAATCTTATTGCTAAGCCCTAGCCTTAACTTTTACCTAGTTTCCTTGGCATATCCTGACCAACCTTTCTGTCGAGTTCATTAAATACACATTCCTTTAAGTCCAATTTAAATTAAATTATATGCAAATTCTAATTTTGCCAGCTAGCACTGTATAATGAAAGAGGCGGAGGAAGAGGAGGAACAGGAAGAAGAATAAAACACAACCAAAAAGGAAGAGACAGTACTATAATGGCTGCGCTATATATTTATACCCTTGCAGGGTATTATAATTTCAGTCAGAAGTTTGCAACGCAGTGAAGGAGACGTTTCCGACCCTATAAAGTATATATATTCTTGATCAGCATCAACAGCCGAGTCGATCTAGCCATGTCCGTCTGTCCGTCTGTCTGTCTGTCCGTCTGTCCGTCTGTCTGTCTGTCCGTCTGTCCGTCTGTCTGTCTGTCTGTTTCTACGCAAACTAGTCCCTCAGTTTTAAAGCTATCTGAATGAAACTTTGCATATAGTCTTCTATATGCTCTCACTGCTATATATGTCGGAACGGGCCGGATCGGACGACTATATCATATAGCTGCCATACAAATGTTTGATAAATTTTTAGAAAAAAAATTATAACTTTGCTGTTTTTCAACATATTTGCACTATTTTTTAAATATGACCATTTTATATTATTCCTGAATTTTGGTAAAAATTTTATGAATATCGGACGACTATATCATATAGCTGCCATAGGAACGATCCGGAAATTAATAGAAAAAAATTACAACATCTTTGTTT